GGAGGGCAAGGCAGGGAAGTGGAGGGCAAGGCAGGGAAGTGGAGGGCAAGGCAGGGAAGTGGAGGGCAAGGCAGGTCAGGGAAGGGGAAGGTGGCAAGGGGAGGTAAGGCAGGAAGGTGGAGAGGAGAGGAAGGGAGGAAGGTGGGAAGGTGGGGGGGGAGAAGAGAGAGGTGGGAAGATACGGGGCAACGTCCATTCAGGCAGCACCGTAACTCAGGCAGCGTGCATTCAAATGCAGTGATCTTTGGCTGCCCCACAAAACCCAAAGGGTGAGCCTGTGGGTATACCAGGGGGCCTACCAGTCAGCAGACCTGATAGCACTACACCAAGCTGCAGAGCACTGGTACCTAACGGCTACGCTTGCCTGTGGGAGGGGGGATGAGAGAGAGAGGATGCAAGATAAGATAGACAGCAAGGGACTGCTGTCTGGTGTCCTGGCATTAAGTTTTCCATGCCAAGACATCTCACCATGAGTCTGGTGTAAAATTGTCCACAGCAAGGGACTGCTGTCTAGTGTCCTGGCATTAAGTTTTCCATGGCGAAAAGACTGCAGTCTGGGATTAAGTTGTCTCCATGACAAGAGATTGCTGTGTGGCTCTGTCTACCTGGTAGGATGTACAATGGCAAATACCCTTCTCACCTGGCAAATACCCTTTTCATGGTTATGTTCTATGAACAAAACCACCATCGCACTGTCTTTTGGCAATGACAGAGCTTCCATCCGCCTTTGCGGAATCCTCTAATCCTCTTCTTCAGCAAGGAACTACTTCTATTTTTTATTGGGTGGACAGTCAACCCACTTTTAACTTTTAAGCAGTATAACCAGTCCTGGATCCTCCCTCCCCTCCCCCCCCCCCTCCCTTCTGGATTATTATTATTGTTACAGTGAAAAGTACTGTGATACTGAATTTGGACCTTCTGCGTGTGTCATCTGTGTGTAGGTGACGGTGGCTATGTCGTCTGTCTCTCAAAGGATTTGCTGTGGAAGAAAAGGGAATTCCAGTGGCTTTCTGGAGAACTTGACTTTTGCCTTGCCCAGCCAGGAGATGGTATTGGGGTACAAGTTGTTTGCTTGTTGAAAGACAGGCCAGTCTATTTGGGCTATTCAGAGTGCTGGTCTCCAGTTCCAAGAGATGGAAAATTCATGGAGTTTTTTCAAGACCAAGGCGAAGATGGAACACTACTAGTAGGGTTATTTTTTGCAAGGCAGGCCTACATGCTCAACAAGCATTATCTGTATCTATCATGCAGTGGACGCCAATGCAATGAACTTGCAGATTCTCTCAGCGAGGTGTAACACTAGTAGTAGGGTTATTTTTGGAATTTTCTCGGTTCTGGGCCCTAGCCCAGGATTGACACAGGCCTAGTCCCTACGGGGACTGTTCTGCAAATACTGAATTTCCACTATGGTATGGACTGGTCCTCCAGTTACTCGGGACCATAGGCCCGTTTTTTGGTCGGCTAGGTTCGGTATGTCCAAGTCTGGTAGGCTGTTGGGTAGGATCTAGAAATAGCTTGGATTCAACGACTGTCGCACGTTTTTTGGTCAGCTAGGTTCAGTAGGTCCAAGTCTGGTAGGCTGTTGGGTAGGAACTATAAATAGCTTGGAGTCAAGGAGTGTCGGGTTCTTTTCTTCAGCTGGATTTTGGGATCGAGAGTGGGATGCGCTGTTTTGAGCGTCGAAGTGGGAAGCCGCCATGCTTGAGGGAGCTGCGCCATAGCTGCTGCCGAGCGAAGCAGGGACTGCAAAGCAGCGCTGAAGCTTGAACTTCAGCCGCTGATGTGATGGCCATGACGCTGTGCTGTTGGGGTTAGGCGCTGCCATTTATCAATTTTCACCTTCTAGGCAGCAGATCTTCGCCTTTCTTTGGTTGCAGAGAAGTCCTTCTTCGTCCAGGGTGCTGGCGCTGCACTCCCTGGATGGGTGGCATTGGGTGCTGATCAGGCGCCACTTTTGCTGCTTCATTCCTGATTGCCGCTTGTGGATACTTCAGGAGCGCTTGGTGGTCTGCAGCTTGCGGGCGACGGTTGCCATATAGCCAGGGGTGCTGTAGAGGTGATGGTGGAGGTTGGAGAAGGCTCCTGCTAGTTCGATGAAGTTTCGTTGAATTTGTGCGGGGTTGCTGAAACACGGTTGGGATTCTTTGAATTTTGTTTATCTGATTGATCGGAGGAGGAAAAGGGGGGGAATGAGAACTGAAGTTTCGTCTTTAATTCGATTGTTGCTTCAATTCGATTGTTGCATATTTTTTTAGCTTCTACTGTGTACTTCTCTCCGGTTTTGTGATGGATTTGCCGCCTCCAAGTCTGCGGTATCATTGCATGCGTGTATGGGAACGTGTGAGTGACTTGTGGATGGATTTTCAACCAGTTACATAAGACCAATATGTATCATCGGGATCCCTGTTCAATTTCGTCACTGTTTCGAATGTGGAATCTTTTAAGGTGCTCCGGTTTTGTCGTGGTCGTCAACTTGAATTTTGTACGAGGATCTTGCTTTTTCGTTGTCACCAACTCAGGGGTTGTGATCATGGCAGTCCATATTCGGCACTCCCCCTCTGGCCCTTCCACCCTCTCTCCCTCTTTCTCTCTCGCGCACACACACGTGACATGCTCACTCGCTCAGTCATCTATTCTGGTGGGCAGCAATCCGGTTGCGTATCACCGACAAGCATGTTGGTACATCCAGAGAAGGGGGGGGATCAGATCAGTCTGAGAGAAGGGGGAACAGACTATCCTTGTGGTACTAATCACCTGGCAAGGGGGGAGCTGCAACAGGGGGCCTCACCCCCCCTAAAACCATGCCCTTTCTCTGGGGGCCACCCTGCTGGCGGGGAGGCTTGCTAGCAGCACCCAGACAGGATGGCCCTCCGGGCGGGACAGGGCGGGGCGGGGCGGGGCGGGGGGAGGGGCCTCCCCTGCAGTTACTCAGGCGGGTACCAGTTCCAGGCCCATGCGTCACTCGGTCGTCACTTTCAACCTTAGTCCTATTCTCATCCTGTCTATCTTGTCTGTTTTTTTTTTTCTTTTCTTTTCTTTTAATTTAAATAGAACTGTAAGGCTCTGGCTCCTTTTCCATTCTGCGGAGCATCAGTCCGGTTCCTATTCCATCTTGTACTGTGTAACCCGGCTTTGGCAATACTCTGCAACACTCTTGTCCCTCGTACCTTGGTTTTCACTAACTCCATGCCTCTAGCTTTCACGGGAGTCGTGTGAATTTAATTAAGCCTTCACAGGACTTGTACGGATTATCGACCTTGAAATGCCTGGCAAAACTGTACCTGACGAGGAAAATAAAATATTCCGGTACTCGTAGGTCCGGTGCAGCAACACTGCTATTGGTCACCGTCATTATCAAGTTGGGGTGACTATTATGAAAACAGCCATCTTCCAAGCCTTCACCAAAGCAGGTTCCGCAGCCAGAGAGGGCTGGCCATCGGGCGCAGAGATGTAAACCACTCGGACTACCGGCAGGCGCAGAGAATATAAAGGGTCAATACATAGGTTCCTCAACTTTGTTTTGCCCACCCATGTCGGCCTTCGTTTCGCTGCTGATCCTCTAGTGGCCGTTTATCATAACTGCTGAGGTCGAAAGGGTGTACATCATCACCGTCCACTTGCAAAAGTTAACTCCAAAGCCCATTCTTTTCAGCGTTGTGAACACAAACGACCATCCCACCTTGTCGTAAGCTTTCTTCAGGTCCAATAGCAGAGTCGCCGAGTTCATGCTCTCCGACAGTACTACCTCCAATACCTCCAGTGTCGTGACATTGTTGTTAAAGATTGATCGTCCTTGGACGAACGCACCTTGGTCTCCAGCCACTAAACCCGGTAAGTGCTTTCCCAACCTTCTTGCCAGTGATTTTGCTAAGATCTTCTATGACACATTTAGAAGGGAGATAGGGCACCAGTTTTTCACATCAGCCTTATCACCCTTCTTGAAAAGCACGGCAATCACCTCGTGAGTCATTCCCTTACCCAGTTCTCCGCTTTCCAGCACTCTGTTGGAAACCTCCACCAAGTTGCACCAACTCTTCCCTCACTGCTTCCTAGTTGCTGATGTAAAATTTGACATTGAGGCCGTCTATACCTGGTGACTTTCCTTTGGCCATACTCTTGAGTGTTTGTGTAACTTCTTCCACAGTCAAAGGTCTGTCCAAATCCAGTCTAGCCCTGGTAGACAGGCTTACTGTTGTGTCTTGCCATATATCAGATTGTTCGATGAGGTCTGTGGTAGGAGCCTGAGGTCGTCTGGTTGTGAGCACATCTTCATAGTAGAGCTTGGCATAGTGGAGCATCCCAATTGTTGAGCAGGCCACCGGTGTTGAGTTGTCAAAGGGGTGTCGCAACTCTACCATTTGCTGTTGAGTCCGTCACGGCTGCAGCTTTAGGAAGGTATCCTTGATTCCTTGGTCATCTGATCGTGTGCCCTTATACCCTTTTCCCTTAACAGGTCAGTCCACCTCTCGTGCGTATCCTGTTGGATTTCCTCCCATTCTGCTACCCATAAGTCCCATTCTGTTGCCCACACCATGGCCGATATTGGGTGCCCCTCCATCCTCTCTTCCGCCTCCTCTACCTTTCGCCTACACTCAACTTCCTTCATGTTCCTAGCTTTGGCCAGGATTCTGGAACATACATACATAACCCCCGAAGCAATAGTTAGTCCCCCATCCAGCCAGTCTTCTTCGTTCACAAAGTACTGTTTGGCCTCGTTCCATTGCTTCATATGGTCCTTGACCCACTCCCCTATTCCGGGATCTTCTAACACCTGCTTGTTCGATCTGAAGAAGCCTCTCCCTCTCTCTAATCCTTCCTGGAGTCTAATATCCGCCACCACCGGCTTGTGGTCCGATAGTGGATTGCAGAAATGTCGTACCGCAGACACACCATTTACCACGCGCTCTCCTACTAGGAAGTAGTCTAGCCGTCTTCTTGTTACCACTTGTCTGTCGTGGTGTCTGTGTGAGAACCACGTGTACCCAACGTTTGTTGGGTAAAGTAACCGAAAGGGATCTGTCAAGGCCAATTCCTCTGTGAACTCAAGTAGTTCCTGCACATCTTGTTTCATTACAGCAGCCGATCCTGGTTGAAGAGCCTCGTCCAAGGACCGATTCCAATCCCCAGCCAATACTAGCTTGTCCACCTTAGGAATGCGTGTTGCTAAAGTCTTGAAAAAGGTTGCTCTTTCTCTCGCGTTCGTGGGGGCATACACTGTCACTAGGAGGCAGTCTTCATTCGCTACTTCCACTCATCCAAGCCCACCTCCCCCAGATGTCTATTTCTGAGTCAATCACCCTCACCAGTAGATACCCCTCCCCGAGTACCATGAGCGGGTGCCCAAACCTGTGCCCTTCCCACCACAGACCTAGCTGTCTGATTTTCTCTTCTCCGAGCTTTGTTTCCTGTAGCATAACGCAGTTTACATTTCATTCACGAACCCATGATTTCAGTCTCCTGTGTTTGAAGCGTCCCCCGGTATCCCCTAAACCTCTAATATTCCAAGATGCAACTTTAAGTTTCTCCATCTACACCTGTTTCTTCCGCTCTGCTTTGGATGCGGGGATGGCTCTCGATGCGTTGTGACACTGAACGCGAGTGGGATGAGCGAGACATGTATCGAGTGCTGCCTCTTACTGAGTTGGACTCTGAACCCAGACCCCATTGCTTGGTAATGGCCTCAACTAAGAACTGGGAGAGCAAATTTTCCTCCCTATCCAGCTTCTCGTTCACGTTCAAGAGGACTAGTGCAGAGATATCCGGAAGGATTTTTATCTGACTTAACTCTTCCACTTCTTGATCCCTTACTTTTCTCATATGTACCCACCGTACTCCAGCTGTAGTCGGCATGTCTGCTATTTCTGGAGGAATGCGCGCATCCAAAATGGGGAAGTACAACTTGTAGTAGGTCTGGCTTGATTCCACTATTAGGCTTGTCATAGAAGAACGGGGGATAAGCCTGATGTGGACATGATTACTGTACAGAGATCTAGTGTGAGCCATGATCTCTAGCGGAGTGGGTGAGTGAGATATATCAATAGATGGGATGTAAGGAGAGCTATCTGAGTTGGCCAAGCCCAAGAAATACACACCATCATTAGCCATTGTGCACATCAGAGGCACTAGTCTTGTCTGCACAGAACTGGCATGACTCTTACTTGTGGTACTATCTGCTCTTGTGTCCCTGTGTTGCTCCCATCTCCTCTCTCCTTCTTTTTTTTCCTCCTCTAAGTGTTTGGTTGCTGCCGACTCAGTGCCGAGCTCCTCATTGAGTTTTGATCTTCCTCATTGCTGAGTTCTGAGTGTCTTTCTTCCCCATACCATTCACTTCCCTACTTCACTTGAGATTGGAAGGAGGCAGAGGTCTTCGACAAATTCTCCGGCTTCCTCTCTATCCCTTCTTGAATGTCTTCTGTGTGTGGCATATTCGGGCCCCGTCTCTTCGACTGTCCTCCTCTCGATCGTTCTAATCTCCTCCTCCTGTAACCTCTTGTTCCTTCTTCACTCGTCCACTCTTTTTCACCACACCAACAGTCTCTCCACTTTTCGTTCTCGCCTGCTCCCTTGCCAAGTCTGAAGGTTCCAGCTCCTTCGTATCTCCTAGTTGGCCCCCAGTACGTAGAGCTCTGCTCTCCGTATTGGGGCACGAAGTCTCTCCAACTATATGACCCAAAGGAGTATCTCGGTGTGGGTGCATTGGCCCCACAAAACCACGATGAGGTTCGAAAAATCCTTGGTCCGGGTAGTGGAGTCTGACATCTTGTGTGCCACCTGGAGTCCACCCAAGGTTGTTCCATCCTACTTGGGAGGGGCCCAGGTGTCCGCCACACTCGACATGGCCGTTTCCTCCTGACCACTCTGCTCTGTCAGCCCAGGGGGGCATCACCGAAGGAGTAGGGCCATGCTCAATTGGATATGTAGGATGTGCAGGGCTTGGCCGTCCCTGAGCACGTTCTTCTCCCATGTCGTTCATATCCCTTTGTTGCAAATTGTTGGTCATTTAAGTGTGCGTTGGCTCCTTGGTGCGCTGTTGGTGCCATCGGTACTGCCTGTACTGGTTCTGTCGGTACTACTGACTGTCCCATGCCATGTGGGCCTCAGATCTGGTTGCTTGTCCAGTGCTGGTTTCCTTCCGCTTGGGCTGTGCCCTCCGTCCATCTGCCTGCTTGTTGTTGCCTATCCGCTGAAATTGTCCCTGTTCTCCCCCCTACATCTTCAATCTCTGCTCTTCGTGCTACTTGTTGTTGTTGTTGAAATCTCTCTGTGTGTCCACCGGAGCGCTGACCGGATGCACCTTTGCCTTCCTCTTGACGCACTCCAGGGCACGTAGCATCCGTGTGGAAATACCACTTACATCTCCGACACCAATCTGTGTACGGAGTAGTGATATCTACTTTCCACCACGATCCCTTAGGAAGTTAGGAGATTCACCTTAAATCTGGCTTCCGGTGGCAGGTCCATTTTCACATTTATCAATTTCGGTCTAGTGCTGTCGTATTCTGACGGATGCATTTGAGTGACTTCACCGAACGTTCCTCTCATGGCAGAATTCAAGTAGTAGTAGACTTCCAGTGGCACTCTCAGTGCAATAATCAAAAATTTCGATTCTGCTTCCTGTAGCCTAATCTCTTGTAATTCTTGAAGTGGTATCCACGGCTTGAAGGACACTGGGTATTCTTTCGAATCCTGAAGTTTAATCTTTAGTTCCTTCCGACGAATAAGCCACTCCGCCACTTCTTTTGCCCTGGCCACATAAGAGGCCACATTCGGTCCTTCGAACTTAACCCTTCCTCGTTTCGAGTCTGGGCCGAACAGTCTCCTCGCAAACCATCCATCTTCATACGCCCTGATTAAGTCTTCCTTAACCTGTCTTGATAATTGACTTGCCTCTCCCTGAAACATCACGATAACTGTATGTTCCTTCAACCACGCCTCCTTTATGTCGTTAACCTGTGCGTTGACCACGAACCTCTTTCCCTGTTCGTCCTCCACCACCTCTCCTATTGGTAAGTCATCCAGACATATTCCCTCTTCGTAACATTTTTCAACCGATTCTCGGATCCTGGCTGCGTCCCTAACTGCCGCCGATGGAATTGGGGGTCTATACGGCCCTGCTCTCACTTGTTCTGCCATCACCTTCATTTTAGGGCTACAACTAGTACGTCGTTCCTGGTTTGACCTCTCCTCCCCAGCACATTTCTTCGATGCTCACCCTACAAGCGGGAGCCTATCCTACTCTAACCTTCCAGGACTGCTTAGATGGCGCATGTACCATCATCCTCGTTGAGAGAGCGTGTACATGGCAAACCGCTTTCCATCATGGCGGCGGAGGGCGTGACCGTGGCTGACCCACAGCGACGACCCGAACGGAGCGCTACGCTACCTGCCTGTTCCGACCGCTCCCGACCGCGCCTACGGTACTGGTGGTTTAATTACCTCAGGCCGGTTAATTGAATATCAATGATATTCAATGATAATATCGCCCAGCAGAGTTGGGACTGGGGACTGGGACAACTATTCGCATTTGACCAGGTTCTGGGGGTAGAAACGGTCTGCCCTATGGCAAAAGGGGTAGAGGACTGCCCAAAATCGAGAAAAAAGGAAAAAAGGGGGGAGGTGGGAGAACACCGGACTCAGGGGGTAGTAGGACTTTTTGTACTGGGCTGCTACGAGGGCTTTTTCTACTGAGCTGTGGGCGCTATTTCGGTTTGATTTATCGGCACGTGGACGTAATGGCGGTCATATACATTCGGAAAAGTACTGGTGTGAGAGCATGCCCTCAGAAAAGGGCGGCGGGCTCAGTTGCAGACGTGTGACAGTGGATGGCGTCGTTGGCTTGGGAGCATATCTGGCCGTCCATATGCGAACGGCCAGATAAGTCAGGGGAATAGGNCGTTGGCTTGGGAGCATATCTGGCCGTCCATATGCGAACGGCCAGATAAGTCAGGGGAATAGGGGTGGGCCAGAGAAAGGAGCGGTATGGAGTCGCCGTTCGCAGGCAGGCGCAGAAGAAGTGTAGGAAGGCATCGCGCAGAAGAAGTGTAGGAAGGCAGATGCCGTTGAATGGACGGGGGAGACTCGTGGAGAGGCAGTTCTTGATAACCGCCTCCCGCCATGCGAAAAATAAAAATAAAATAACCGCCTCCCGACCTTTTCTGAGGGAAGGCTCTCACACCAGCTGGAGGAGGGGAGGGGGGGGGGCGTCGCACGAGAGGGTCGACAGGGCAGAGCACTTACCGTAGTCGGGGCCGGCACCTGGTCGGAGTCTGGCACTTCGCAACATGCGAAGACAGCGCGCAAGCCGAGCGCTCGTGGACAGCGCACGGTGGGGAGTGCGGGGAAGCGCACGGGAAGCTCGCGAGAGAGCACAGGGGAGGAGGAGCACGGTCGGAGGCGAACGGAAGAACAGC